ATCCTTTCCTTTCACTACGTCCAGATAATAAACACACAAAGGCAGAGCTTTCTGCTTAATATTCACCCACAGCAGTCTGGGAAGAGGGAAAGAATAGCTCCCGAGGGTTAACGTGGCAGTAAGCGAGGTCAGCTGTTTCCCAAGATGGTACAGCCTCTGAAGGTCTTACGTTAAAGCTAGAATGATACCTCCGAAGCAGCCTAGGTGATTTATGGGAAAGACGGCGCAGTCGGGTTTGCTTGCTGCTTCTGAGCTAGCTGTCTCCAGCAGCTACAGCAGCAAGCAGTCCTCTGCGATACAAAGCATCTATAGAGAAGGGCATTCTCCCAGGTCTCCAGACACCACTGCACCAAGGTCTGTCTGACCTGAACCTCCCATGCTACTGTTTCCCAAATATGTCAAGCAGCAGGGGATCATTTGGAAAGGTGACCAGCTACACAGTTGGTTTCAGGCCACAAGGTTTTCCTGGAATATAGGCTTGGGACTAATGTGGGGGAGTCTAACTTGCCCTGGGATGGTAATTGCCAAATCTAAGGGGATCGTGTATATGTGCATGTCCAGTCTTTGGGCTTCTGGATGGAAGAGGACTTGTTTTTGTTGTTGTTATTGTTTTGTTTTGTTTTGTTTTTTTTAACCAAAGCTCAAAGGTTTATTGTATGTATTTATTTGGGGTACAAATTTCATATATTCTTTATTGGTCCACAAAGCATTTTTAAAATGTCTTGCTATCTAGCTGGACTAATCCTGTTCACTATCTCTAAGTTTCCTGTAACCCCCATGACATTTTGTACTGGAAAAAGTGGAATTTTTAAGAAAACCATCTTGTTTCTTTGAGATGCTCCAGCCCAGAGATAATTCAAAGAGAATTTCCGAGCAGTGTAGAATGCCAGCCCTTCCTTTAAAAACACGGCACAGCTAATAGTCTCTCCTGAATGCTTCATCAGGGGCCCCACTTATGACTTTTAATGGAGTTACAGCATGGTTAAGTGAGATAGTGATGGTCATCTCAAACTCCCCTGTGGCAGGTGCCATGCATGATACAGATGCTAATTGATTCCCCAGGATTTCCTACTCTGCCTGACTTATACCAGGGCAATATTAAAGTGGCTTTCCTACACTGCTTGACTTATACCAGGGCAATCTTAAGGTGGATTTCCTGCACTGCCTGATTTATACCAGGGAAATCTTAAGGTGGATATTCTTTTTTTCCCAGCACTTTTCTCTGTCTTGTGGTGTTGCACTTAAATACCTTTTATCACTTTCATCCTTGATTCCTTACTGCTCAGTCAGCACACACAAACACCTGCCCACTCCCCTTTGGGCCCCATGCACACCACAACATGGTTCCATGCCTACCTGTTTGTCTGTTTATCTAGCTGCCTGCCTGCCTGCCTACCTGTCTGTCTGTCTATCCATCCATCCTTCAAAATATCAAATAAACATACACACATGAAATTATTAGGATAGACATATATCAAAGTGCTGACAGTAATTATCCCTGAGTAGTAGATTATGGGTATTAAATATTGCGCTTTTTAAGCTTGTCTATTTTCTAAATATTATTGATAAGCATACCCAGTTTTTTCTTTTTTTTCAAGAAAAAAAGATTCATAGCACCAAAAAAATTTCTTGTGGAAAAAGAAATAAATATAGTCACTGTTCTCAGCCAGCCTCAAATGACACCAGAATATATATGCCCTTAGTCAGGTGGGAAAGCGGAGGCACCATCTCCCCATGACAACCTGTGCTAGGAATCTGAATTAATTCTGTTTCTTATTTGGATTTTACTGCTGAGTCTTTGCCCTGGAACGTGGAAAAACCTCATGCTATGACAGGTTTCTCGTGCCTTCACTGTTCTTGATGGAACACACAAGTGAGAACAGTCCTTCAGCAGTGAGAGGGACCATCTGATGGGTTGGAGGCTGGAGGTTTGAGCTCAGAACAGTTATGCATGGGCCTGAGGTTGGGGAGGCATTTTCTTCTTGACACTGCCTGGAATAAGCTGCTTGCTATCCAGATCTTTTCCTTGTTACGTGTTTGATAAAACCTACTCTGTGCTAAAAGTGACTGGTGGAAGCTGTTTTGAATGAAAAATCTGGCTTTCCTGGGAAAGTTGGAGCATCACTGAGTGTGCCAATGGCAAAGAAAGCCAAATCAAGGAAAGGGGGCAGAGAAAGTTAAGAAGCCTGTGTTCCATCTCAGTCATGGTCCAGGAAACTTTTCTCTTGCATCTTAGCCACTTTGTGACTGAGATGAAACCAGACACCTGTTCATGCAGAATGTGCAGACATTCTCTCTTCTACTTACCATGGTTTTTCCAACATTAGAGGGGTGCTCCCTCTCAAATGTGAATAATAATGTCTGTCAGTCTACTCCAGAGTTTTCAAAGGTAAAGTAAATTGCTTCCAAGAATACAGTGATTGGGACAGGAGACACATTTTAGTGCAGTGACCTCAGCTATCTCAAACACATCAATCATGTACCACGCATTAACTGTCATAGGCAATCATGATTGGACGATCTTGTTTGGTGAAAAGACTGTCCACTCCACAAATCATTCAGAGCAGTCCCTTAGGTTGCAGCTGAATATCTGGTACAAATGGCCTCCAAAGGCCCCCTCAGGCTTACAGTTTCTCATCCAGCTACCACTCTGGTGCATCCCTCAGTGGTGGCCATGATGTTTCACTTGAATCACCTTCTCAAGGTGCATCTCAAAGTTTGCCTCCTCTGCATAGTGAGTTAATTCCCAGTGTCCCAACAAGACATGATATTGCCCTCATGGTAGCACCCACCTTCCTTTGTCGTTTTGATTTTTGTCTTTTTTTTTTTTAATTGAAAAGGTATTTATGCAATATATTTTGATCATGTTTCCCCCTCTCCTAAATTCTTCCCACCTACCTACGCAACCAATAGCATACACTTTCTTTACCTCCCTCTCTTTGAAAAACAAAGACTCTCTTTCACACACACACACACACACACACACACACACACACACACACACACAAAATTAGAAACCAAAATACAAGCAGAAGACCAAAAAAAGAAAGAAAACCCAAATAAAGAAATAATAAGACAAAAAAAAAATCCACAAAAATACCATTGAGTTAGTTTTGTGTTGCTTTCTATTAGGCTTGGAGTCTAACATTAAGTGTGTTTATAATATACCCAGTGAGACTCCATTGCAGAAGATTAATCTTTGCTTTTCAAGAAGGTATCAGTTGCAGGTAGCTTCTTGGTTGGGGCTGGGGAACCATGTCTACTTCATCCTCTCAGTACTCGAACCCCATCTGACTTGAACCTGTACAGGCCCTGCGGGTACTGCCACAGTCTCTTGTTTCATATGTACATCAGTTCTGCTGTATCTGGAGGACACTGCTTCCCTACCAAACACATCTGCCTTTTACAATCTTTCTGCCTTAAGGTAGGGGATGGGGAAGTGATGAAGACATCCCATTTAGGACCGAATGTTTCAAGATCTCTCACTCTCTGCACATTGTCCAAGTTTTGGGTGTATGTGTTTGTTTCTGTCTGCTGCAAGAAGCTTCTCTGATGATGAATGAGCAAGGCATTGATCTATGGAGATAGAAGACTATCATTAAGAGTCATCCTATTGCTATGTTTGTTTAGCAAAACAATAGTAGTTTTTCCCAGGTTCTTGGCCACTCTAACGTGGTCAGGCATGTGTTCCATCTATGGAGTAGGCCTTAAATCCAATGAGAGTGAGAGGTTACTCTCACATTTGTGCCACTATTATATCAACATATCTTGCAGGCATGTCACTAATGTAGGTCACAGTATTTGTAGCTGGATGACGTTTCTCCTCTGGAAACATACAGAGTACCTTTTAGTACCATGAAAACTGGTCAGTGGGAGTGAAGCCTCTAGTTAATCACCAGCTCAATTTCTCCATGTCTGATAAGATAAACAAGGGATGTCTTCACCTATACAGCCTTCTCATCAGTTTGTGGAGAGCAACCAATATCCTTGGCAACAGCCTGAGATGTTTGGGGTTTCCATAGGGCCCTTTTGACCAGTGACTTAAGTAGATGTAATTCATTCCTGACACTGGAGGTTTTCTTGGTGGCGTAAGGTGTCCAGTTGGGCCATTGTCTCTCTCATTACTTGATGGCTCCGTTTACATTTCTTTCGTATATGTATGTATTTTAGGAAGCTTCTTTAGTTTCAGGTTTCCATATGGTCCCTCAAATGGCCCATAATGTTATTTACCCCTCCCCATAGCCCTTCCTTTTCCCCTCTCTTTCACCCTTCTCCTCCCACTCCAGTCTTCCCTATCTCTCTTCTTAACGATTTGTTCTGCTAGGTACATTAATTCCCAGTGCTCCAGTGAGATACAATATTGCTGTTATGGAAGCCCTCACCTTCTTAACAACAGGCCCCACTGTTGATTAGGCTCTGTCTTGAATTGTAGGTCATTCATGGTCTTGTCTTAGCTCCATTGTACATAACCTATACTCACTCATCATTATATCCCAAAGAGATTCTAGACTCAGGCATAGAACAGGACCTGCCATCCTGTAAACACTCAGGACACACAGAGCTAGAAAGAACTTCAGACAGCATCTACACCAACCTTCTTATTCCTCAGAGGGGGAAAAAAACCAGCCATGTTTAGGAACTTTACCCTCATCAATGGCTAGTTGTTGCCTAGATTAAAATCAAAACTGAGCTTTCAGGTCTCGTGACTAGAAGACAGCTGTCACTCCATAGATGGCTGGAACTGAATTTCAGAATCTTGGAGAAATAGGAACACGTCACACAAGCGGGAGGTGTCAGCATTGGATCCAAAGGCTCACTGGTTGGATGAACTTACCTGAGGGTGGAGGGAATATTATCATCCACAGCCCCATGTACCCATTCTATGGGTGTCCCCATGTGCCAGGTGCCAGTTCCTTCCACAAGTTGCCTCATTGTCATTGTCTGCTCAAAAAGGCCACCTGATCACAGAGGACTGACTTCTCTCCCTTTTTCCCTTCTAGGCTAATGGAGGTTGGCAGGATGCTACTACCCCTTCATCAGTGACCTCCCCTACAGAAGGCCCTGGCAGTGTTCACTCTGACACCTCCAACTGATCTCCCAGCAATCGCATCCCGGCTGACCCTGTGCCGCAGTTGGGGCAGGGGCAGGAGGGAGGGTTTCTCTCCCAACGCTGAAGCGGTCAGACTGGAGGTCGAAGCAATCAGCAAACACAATAAGAGTCTCCTTCTCTTCTCTTCTTTGGGATGCTATTTCAGCCAATCTGGACACTTCTTTATACTCTCTTCCCTTTTTTTCTGGGTAGAAGCCACCCTCCCCTGCCTCCAGCTCTCAGACTGCTTTCTGTCATCTTCCCTGGCCCTATTCTCTGTTCTACTCACTGGGTTCCTGCCCTCTATTATATCACTGAAGGATATTTTCAACAATTAGAGGAATTTAAAAAGGAAAAAAACAGATTACAAAGAAAACAATAAAACGTATTTGTATGTTTTCATGCTGGTGGTTTGAGGAGCCAAATTTACCTCACTCAGAGCCCTCATCCCTATGTTGACAGGCAACCCTTCTGTCTCTCTTGTTACTCTCACTACCTCTTAGCAGGAATACACCACACTACCCTACTCATTCCAGGCCACCCTGTCTCTGTTTATCCTTTCTTTCTGGGAACAATCTGATTTCTTCCTCTTCTTTCTGGTCCCAGGTATTTGTTGGGGACAGCCACAGCTGAACTCCTAAAGGTGCCACATGTCCCAATGTCACTCTATCAGGTTGAGCCCCAGGAGGGGAGGGCACAAGGAACAGCAAGGACAGGATTCCTACCAGCTTTCTCATCCTTTTAGAAACAGCTCTTGGTCTCAGAGGTCTGCAGAGACCATTCAACACTTAGGCAGCAATGTTCAGGACCTTATGCAAGTGGGGTCTTGAGTGTGGTATCCTGTTGGGCACATCTGTAAAGAGTGATGGTGTCTCATCCTGTAAGGCTTCACTGTTCCTTCTTAGACATACACACATACATAACACACAAGTGGACAAATGCTCAACCTGATACCTTTGCTTGGTTGGATGCTACTATCCTTCCATCAATGACCTCCCCTATGGAGGGCCCCAGCAGTGTTCACTCGGACACCTCCCATTGATCTCCCAGCAATCTCATCTTGTGCAAATGCATACATTAGCAATCATAGTACTCTAGCTGGTGAGCCTGAGAGAGAAGCAATATGTGCCTGGGTCTTCTAGGACCCACCAGCATGCATTTACCACCGTGCCATGCACAGGGCATTATTGGCATACAGGCCAGGTTTCAAGTATAAACAGCTTTCATTCCCACCACCTCTGGAGCTCTCAGGGAGCCATATACAGGACTTCCAATGTCTATGATGGATTTGGCTGCTCTTTCTGTGTTTTTATTATATTATCTTTTCAAAACATTATAGTACACTGTGGTCTTGATCCTGGCTTCTTCCTCTGGAGGAGAGAGTGGTCTAGTATGTGGTTCAGATGAACTTTTAGTAACTAATTTGGTGGCATCAGAACCATAGAGTAAGAGTGATAGGCTTTGTCATTTTTGTTGTTGTTGCTGCTGTTAAAATAATCACATTGATCTGTATACCATGTGATTGAAAGGAAATAACATTTACTAGAAAGGTTGTCTTCTTGCTTTTGACATGAGTTTAAATTCCCCAGTCATCTCTGCCAGCCATAAAGATGCTAGCTTTGCCAGTAAATTAAGTGGTATGTGGTAAGTGGATAGCTTTGGGGCCTCATGCCCTTCATCTGCAAAATGGGAATTGTTATGCTTGGCTCCCCAAGAGGCTTATAAGAAATCCAAGAAACTGGCTAGGTTTATATTTAATCTCTAGGTCTCATGGTCAAGAAGAGTGATGCCCTTGTGATGAACTGTTTCATGCTAGGTCAGAACCATACATGGTTTTCTTGTTCTAACTTCTGCTTGTCATCTTGATGTCATTACCATAATGACAAAGCATTGTTTTAGAGGCTTTCTGCTCTGATTTGGTTTTGGTCTATTAGTCTTAGGATAGAAAAGAGATTTGAAACCAAAAGAGTAGAACTTGGTTTTATTAGTTTCTACTTGAATCCAGTATGTATCCTTGCAAGTCCTTGTTCCTATCACAACTCTTCTCTTTCAAGAAGTACAGCGGCTTGAGGGCTAAGACACCACCCAATAAAATCACTCAATTCCACATGGCCCTGCAATGATATGTAGGAACATCCTTCATGTGTATTGGGAGGAGTAGGGCATGTATCCTGGGAAATGGGGAGGGGAGCATGAGTATTTTAAGATAATGCAGAAAGCAATTATTTGGCAAGTGAAATTTTGTCTAACTGATCCAGGTCACTAGAAAGATGGTCAACTAACATGTGCTATGCTCAGAACGGGGTGTGTAGAAGGGACATCATCACAAGTCTACATAGTGAGGAGAACCAGTGATCTTTGTCTTTGTGGCAGGAATATATTGAAATGACTCATACAAACATGGTTAGATCACATCATTTAATATAGAGCAAATTATAAGAGTTACTGAAGAGTTCTCTTGGAAGCAAGAATGTCTCCAGATCTGGACCTGAACACATGAAGGGAATGAGTAGAACATGGGAAAGCATGGATGCCTTCACACAGACAGCTTCTCTTCAGGCAGGAGTAGCCCCAACCAGCACTTCACTCGGCCTCCTTTAGGTCTAACACTTAGCCCATAGCCTGTTCTCCTTGTCCACTATCACCTCCAACATGGCAGCCCCCAGATCTCTGTTGTCAAGCAAGGCTAGAGAAAACTGGCAGCCTCCAGATAGGAGTGGGAAGGGTGTGCCCCTAGAATCTCAGCTCAATCTCTAAAAAACCATACCCCCAAGATTCCTTCATATTCTAAGTACAAATGGGAATGCTCCATTTTCCACAACAGCAGTTTTCTCCTGAGAAATGGTCATAGACCTTGGATTTGTCACCGTGTGTTACATTTTACTGCCTTTTCCTCTTCTTCCCACTGGAGTCCTTCCTGGGCCACAGGTTAGCCTACTGGCACCTTCCTTCCACTTCTTTCCCTATGGTAGTGGTACTGTATTATTATTAATTTTTTGGTTGCCTTTTCCCACACCTATCTTCACCTCTTTCCTTCTATCTTTATTTTTCTGCCCAGAAAAACCTGACTTCGATACCAAAAAAAGATAAAACTACAGAAACTCAAATTTAAAAAAAAACTTAGGAAAAAAGCAAAAAAAAAAAAAAAAAAAACAATTCTTTCAGCTTTATTAACATTTTCCATCGTTTCTTGCGACTTGTGTCTTGTTCTTTGTAGTATTGATGATGAACATTTGATAATGAATGTTCTTGTATATTCAGATAAAGGAAAAAAAACCAAAAAAGCGGTCTGAATTTAATAGTGTTTATAATAAAAATTTTAAAAATGACCCTCATAGCACGCAAAACAGGAAGGGGAAGCTTCCCTTCTTTCTGTGACGAGATACATCATTCCTGCATTAGTTTTTAACACCAAACTACCTATGTTCCTCATTTCCCCTGCCGTTTTTCCTTTTATTTTCTTGCATTTGTGAATTAGTTCAAGAATGCTAGAAAAGTGTCAAGTTGTGTACATCCATTTCTTTCACAATGTTTAAAAGTGACCGTAATTCATTTTGTAAGCTAAAAAAAAATAGGAAAAAAAGAAAAAAAAAAATAAGGTTGGAATAGTGAACATAATAGGTACAACCTAACCCTTATGTTTATTAATTTTGAGACCCAGAAATAAATTCTTTTCCTTTCTTTATTCCTGCTCTTAAAAATACAAAAAAAAAAAGTTTTATTTTGTGTTATTTTGGTTTTGTTTATTTTGAGGGGGTGCTTTTTTTCACTGTCAGGGTTGTGGGTCTTGCCGGTTTTATTCTTTAGTATGTATACAAGGTGATGTGAAAAGGGGTCCCTGGTAGATGAGGCTCCTTCCTTGTTCTGCTTTGCTTCAGTCAATGTCAAAAGCAGTGGTAAAGCCCATGACCACATGTCCTTGCTTTCTTGCATGCCCAGGATGTGTGGCACTCCTGTAACCCCCAAGATAATGAAGCAAGGACTTGCTTCCTTAAAAACTAACAGAGCCTGTCCTGGGGATTTCTTAGACTAGAAGGAAAGACTTTTACCTTCAGTGATTCTGAATGTCTTTCTTTCTCCCTAATTAATGCCAACAGTCCATGAAAATGCTTCCAACAAGAGAATTTTTCTCCTGGCAGAACTCCATAGGAGGTACTGCCTTGGTAGGTACCACTACCAAGTAGAATAGATCCAGGAAGCAAGCCCCCAGGCACATCCCCTTGGGATCCAGAGTCCCCAGGTCTGGATGGAGAGTTGTGAGATGAGCCAGAGCCAAAGCTGCAGATTAAGCTGGTTTCTGATTCACTGATGGTGCACTTGTAACTAACCTCCAGTTAGGTTAATTGTTTAAATTGCAAAGCAGGATTCATCAGAAATTTGGTATTAGTTATAGGGCAAAAGAAAGCCACATTGTTGGGCAGATGTTCAGTTCTGAACGTCATTCATTCAAACATTCAGGTGATCAGGAAGCAGACAGAATTCCGGGCATATACATGAAGGGGAACAAAACAAAACAAAACAAAACAAACAAACAAAAAATCAAGCCACTCATAGTTGTGGAACTATGCTGTGGGAAGCATGTCCACCCGGAGGCAGCTCTTGCTTCTGTCGTGAGAAATGAAAGGCAATCTTTTCACATCACCTTCGTGGTTTCCAGCCTAGCTCAAAGCTTTCTGGAAACATATTTTTTGTAAACTTTTTTTTTCCTTTTGTTAAAATAAATAAAACATTGAATGTTTCCCCCTCTTTCTATTACGTCTTCCCACTGGGAGGTTCATTCTGAAGTGTTTTCCTTTGGTTGTTGGTTTTTATGCCCCCCCCCCCATTTCTCTCTTTATTATTGAGAGTATAGACCTGCAAAGTTCTACTCTGGTTTGGTTTTGAAAGCTTAAGCTTTTCTGCTTCTGCGAGAGCACAGGCTTCTGTCCCCTTTGATTCAAGCTGAACTTTTGTGTTCTCTAATGATACTAACACGATGTAGGTTTTACAGTCTCCTAATTTGTACTGGTAATGCAGATTCCAAATAAATAGTTTCTTTTGTTGCAAAATATATATACATACACTTGTATTTTGTGTAGATTTCTTCTTCCGTGCTGGCAACTTCACCTCCCTACATGGGCCTGGGTTGCTGTGGCTTATGTTTTAAATCATTGCCCTAATCAGTGATTTATAGTCTAGGCCACCAGCTTCACAAAGGGAAGGAGGGAGGGAGAAAGGAAGGGAGGAAATGGGGGTGGGGAGGGAGGGAGGAACGGATGGAGGGAGGGACAGAGGGAGAGGGGGGAAGGAGGAAGACAAGAAAATCAACTCTATGAAAGGACAGAGTAACTCATCTGTTTTCTAAGGCATGACTATTTGCCCAATGGGTTATCTTTTCTTTCACTGAAAAGTTCTGGTCATGAGGGGAATTGTAATTCCCAAGAGATGTTTCAAGGGAAAGAATCTAGGTTATAAATAATACTTTTGGACCCTCCAAAGTATTGTAGATGTCACTTCAGCAAATCTGCTCACCTGCAGTTGCTTATGTCTGTCGTCCCATTGAAGCATTCAGCCTGATAGTTCGTCTATATCCACTGGGACCCTGGCCGGGGTTACCATCTGCCAGTCAGTATTTGCAGTGTTTTAAAATCCACACTGCAAGTCCATATCCCCCACCTTCAACATCCTGTTTCTGTCTTTGGGGTGCAGAAGATCTAATTACCCAGCTCTTGACTGACACTTTGTCCCTCCAAAAATGTGGTTCTAAACAAACATTACTTTCCCGTTTTCCTTCTTTATGTCTCCAAGGAGGACGGTTTAACGTTGAGGTATTAACCACATACTCACCCCTATCCCAAACACAATTCCAATCAACAGAGCCTAGAGCAACAGAGAAGTAGTTGAAATTAAGTTCTTGGGGTTTTTTGTTTGTTTGTTTGTTTGTTTGTTTTGTTTTTTGGTTTTTTTTTTTTTTGCTTTGTTTTGCTTTTTTTCATTTGAAAAAGCTAAGTGTCAATGACCGTAGAAGAATAAAGCTAGGCATAAATGATTTTGGAAACTTTACCAGAAGCCAAATCAAGTCTCAGGTGCTCCCAATTTAAGCATAGAAACGCATTGTCATGTGAAAGGCACACTCAGATTAAGTTCATTTTCCAATTATGTGTATGGGCCTAATCCATTCATATAGCACATTCATTAGAATTCACTGAAGTCATATATAAAACTGCTGGAAAGAATAAACCAAAGATGTGTGATGCCTAAAATACAAATCAAATATATTTCCTGCTATGTAATAACTTAGAGACATTTTCCAGAGTACCTCCTCCCACTATGGTGTTCTAGGGATCCAGCTCCTTCATGGTTCGTCATCCACATGTGTGTCATCCAGCAGGTGGAGAGGACGTAAAGAAGGCTTACCCAGGATTCTTGAAAACCTTGACAGAGAGTTGCATTTATATTTCTAAGTGTAAGGTCTAAGGGTAATACCGGAAGTCTGGAAAACTATTAGCTAGCTAGGCAGCCACTTCCTGGCAGTAACTCCACATGATAACTTTTTGAATGGCTGGCCAAGAGTGGAAATAAAAGACAAGCCCATTTGTCCATGTCAAAGTGGACACACTCCAAGTGAAAATATTGCTAGCTGTTATCCAAGACATAGACGCATTATACCTCAGTGGGAAAAGGGTAAACCCAGATCAAGAGGTGTCCAACTCAATATTGCCCTCTGGAGGGAGAAGAAACAGAAGTACCTTATCTAAGGAAATGTGAGGAGGGAGAAGAGGAAAACAATGCAAACAAACCTATTCTGCAGCATCTTCCAATTTGTTTATAAACTTTGGCCTTACTACCAGACCTGTGGTCACTAGGAGGAGGGAGCTAATGGGAATGACAACAGCCTTGTCTCCACCTTCAGGAATTCAGGCCGCTGTGTTCGTAGAGATGCCTCAAAGAATCATGACTGATGACCAGCAGTCATCTAAGAGAATGTAGACTGTGCCCTAATTCACCCATGCTGTAAAGAAATAGCCTCCATTCTATAGTTTGTAAACAATGAAACCCTATTGCTCATTGTTCTGAGGGCTTGGAAGTCTTGTGCTTATAGATAGCACCTCTGTCTAGGATCCCCCAGGCCTCTTTATAAAAGCAATGGTATCATTTTAGATGCTCTTTCCTCCCGACTAAACCACACCTCAAAGACCTTGCCTCATATGAAAGCCTAGAGTATAGGGTAGACATCACTTAGGTCATAGCAGAGCTAAATTGCAGGATCAGATCTGCTCACTCATAATCCATACATGCCTACACAGCCTTGTAAATGTCTTCTACCAATTTCCACTTCTCTGTTATTCTGGCACAGAAACTAATGTATGGAAATCAAGATGAAAGTGCAGCAGGGGCCATTGGACCTAGCGTTGTAGCCTGGGGCTCCCACTTCAGGGACACTACCTGATCTCCAGCTGGGATGGGAGGTGAAGGGAGAGAAGTCAGAAAGGACTGGGACAGCAGTACTGCCCAGGACCACATGCTTTGGAGAACCACTGTCTTTGTCTTCCTGGGACCCAGGCAAGGCCTAATTCAGATGGCTTTGGGTAGACCAGGTAGATCAATCATTAGTGTTTGGATTTCACTGTGCCCTAAGCCAAAGTCACTCCCCCACCACTTACTCTCCAGTCAAATTTCTAATGTAGCTCAGCAGTTATCAACATGCATTTCTTTATAACATAAAAGGCCCCAGGCGCTGGTATGTATTCAAATATGAATCTTTTATTAATAAGTACCCAGAGAGAAATTAAAGTTCAAAATAAAATCTTCCTTCTCTTATAAATTAAAATCCAAAAGGATGTAAATCTACAGCTCATCCTCTATGATTTCCTACTGTGTTCATTATGCATAAGTTCACTTTTACTCCACTGCCACAAATGGGGCTATGGCCTTCCTTTTAATGAGGCAGTCGAGGCCTTGCCTACTAGAATACGACAGCTGGCCTGGTCCCTCCAAAGTTCAGTTCATCTAACATTGAATCTCTCTAGTATTCCACTTTTTTTCCCCCTAGAAATCAACTTCCAAACCATATGAATTGTATCCTTTGACCAGCTTTATGATAAAAGCTGTGAAAACGCCAATAGAATCCAAGGTCCAATTGGGAAATGAAGTAGCCAGGACCCAGAGTAGAGTGTCATGTGACTATTGGTGATGGAGGACCTCAGCAGAGCTTTGATAATTTGGTGAGAAGGCAAGGGAACTAGGGAGTACACAGAAATGTAAGAGTAAAAGTATTTAGTCTTGCAGCACCAGCTGTTTGGTATCAAGTGTCATGTTGAGAAAAGGCCACCTACAAGTGGTTACTCTTTTGCTCCCCTTCCCATATTCTTGGGGAAACCACCCAACCTATGCATTCTGCCTCACCTCTCTGAGAACGGCCTTTGAAATATTCACGCCTTTGTGAAAAATTCAGAAATGGTAAAGTGGGCCCCCTCTAGTCCACAGGCTGACTTAAGGCTTTCCTTCCTCCTCAGGCATTCATACGCACATAGAAAATCTCATCCAAATTTCCATTTCCTGTTAAGGCCTGCACCCCCAGTGTCAGCTCCCTATCCTTTGATATTTCTGCTTCTTCCCTTTCTGACGGAAGTCCAGATTAGGACTCCCTTCTGCTATTCCCCCTGGCTCAGCTCGAATTAGCTGCCAGTTGCTGAGCCCCAGTTCTGCAGACACTGCAAGGCAGTGGGATGTATCCTTCACACAAATTCTGGCTGCCTTCATTCTCTAGTTCCTTCTCTTCTGTCTCTTGTGTAGACATCATTCCCTTTGTCTTGGGCTTAGACATTTGTTTCCCTATCATATTTTCCTAACTTTTGTTTTATTCCCCCTACCCAAATTCCATCCTATCCCAAGCTTCCATTGTATCAGTTGACTATTTGTTTAGCTTTAATTCCTCAATGCTGTCAGAAACACTCCCAGACTCAGCTACCTATATCCCGTCAGGGTCCCTCCAAAGGGCCCATCTCTTGGCTTACACCTTTAGAACACATGGCTCTTCATTTTATCCTCACACAGAAACAGTGAGAGTAGAATTCACTAGTAACCTCAAGAGTTTCACTCTGCTTTTCCTCAGTTACCCCTCTCAAATGTGCCCACATTCTCTGCTAACACCCGGGGCTCCTTTCTGAGTCACTCATGAGAACATCTCCAGTTACACACCCCACCAACTTCCTATCTGCTGCCTTGGTGCACTCTGGATTCCTTCCTGTGTGGTCTACATGGCATTTGTTCACTGAGTGCCTAACAGCCACATCGTACTGACTTCAGTGACGCCTCCCCTGCTGTCACCTGGATCTTTCCTGACATGACCTCTAAAACCAGATGAGAGCTTTTCCATGCCAACAATTACTCCAGCATCAGCAACTGCATCCTAAAACCCATACCAAAATTGACACTAGATATTTGGAGTAGGGTTAGGACTCAACAGGGCTCAAACCCAAAGACTATCCCCATATTAGGTTGTGTGTGCAACTGTCAAGTCTGACTAGGAAGTGTAAGAGCTTGCAATCTCCTCTTTAAGTAGCTACCTGGAACTCAGGTAGCTACTCCACTTATGCATTCTCAATGGTTATAAAGGGTATAAATGAACAACCAGATGAGGCGGTACATCAGGTAAATGGAAGAGACCTCAGAGCACAAGATTCTGTCCCCAAAGAGTCAGTGTGCACCTCCCCTCTCAATGGATGTGTTCACCATATCAGTCCCAATTATTTCAGTATTTTGGAGATTTCCTTACATAGAAGTGAGGGACTAAATCATAGACCACTGGTGCTTAACACAGAGCTTGAAGGAACACGTCTGAAAGTTCCAAGCTTCTAGTCAGCTTTGGTCTTTTCTGATCAGCTCCATTCTGAAGCTTCCTAGTAGGCTGTTGACAGTCTCATCCTTAGAACAAAGCATTATCCTGTCACTCATCACTCAGGAAATCTCAAGAAATCAGTTGCCCTAATGGAAGGCCAGATAGAGGTGGAGCATCTCTTACCCGAAGATCAGGAATCCAGTGGACTTCAAGATATGGAAATTGTGAGCAC